AAAAAGAACAGCATTTATTCAAAATATATACCTTTTCTAATGATATACATCTTTACTGTCACTTCTTAATTTAACACGTCCTCGCTGAATAAAAGTTTATTTCTTAAAAAAAAAGAAAGAATAAAAATGTACTGACCCCAAACTTTTGAACTGTAGTGTATATTGTTAGAAAATATTTCGATTTTAAATAAATGCTCTTCTTTTTAACTTTTTATTCATCAAAGAATCCTGAAAAAAGTATCACAGCTTCCAAAAAAATAACTGATAATAAATCAGCATATTATACTGATTTCTGAAGATCATGTGACACTGAAGACTGGAGGAATGATGCTGAAAATACAGCTGCGCATCACAGAAATACATTACAGTTTAATGTATATAAAAATAGAAAAGCATTATTTTACATCATAACAATATTTCACAATATACAATTTTTTTTCTGTATTTTTGATCAAATAAATGCAGCCTTGATGAGCAGAAGAGACTCCTGTAAAAAACATAAAAAATCATTCTAATCTCAAACTTTTGACCGGTAGTGTATGTGTGTGTGTATATATATATACACATAATAAATATACACAGTACACACACATATAGTATGTAAACATAACTTTTATTTTGAATCGATTAATCACGATTCATCGTTTTGCAACCCTACTCTTTATCGTTCAGCCAAACATGGTCAAGAGCGTTTCAGGAACAACACAAGATCAGCCCTTTTATCCGAACACACACACACACACACACACACACAAACAAAAGCAGTCGATGACGCGGCTGGATTCAAAAACTACGGAAGCCCGTTTCAGCCACGTGATAAAAAAACAAATCATGCTTTAGTAGGTCATAGTTATGCGATGAAAAGTCAGAATTATTCGACAATTTCAACTTTCATAATTAAGCTTTTTATGACCATTTCGACTTTTAAACTAATTCTGACTTTTTATCTCATAATTATGCTTTTTTTAAAGTCGAAATTGTCACAAAAAGTCACAGAAATTATGACATCAAAAATTGTAATTAGATAAAAGTGAAAATTATGACTTTAAAAGTAAAAATAAATTAACGAGAATAGTCATATTTTGAGTCAAAATTACGAGAATAAACTTGTAGCAACTGGAGAACAGTCTTATATTGAACTTTTCATATTTTGAGAATAAAGTCATTGCATTTTGAGATTGAGTTTTATTTTGGGAATAACATCTAAATTACGAGAATAAAGTCTTTTACATGATTAAAGTCAAGATTAGAAAACGACTTTATTCTTGTCATAACCTTCATTTGTTTTTAAATATCACTAAAACACTCATACTAAATCATAATTATGAGATTAAAACAAATACAAATTATGATACAGTTTTACATTTTATCTCATAAATGACTTCTCCTCATAATAATGACTTTAAAGTCTTAATTTCAACTTTTAATCCTGTAATAATTACTTTAAAGTCATCATTATGACTCACCAAAGCATTATTTTTAATTATTAAGTGGCTGAAATGGGCTTCCGTAGAAAAAGTCACAGAATTTTAAATCATATCAGCATTAGTCATGCCCTTTAAAGGCATTTTACACTTAACGATGTTAAAACAGCATGATTTCGATGATTAAAAGTCAATTAAACATAACGGCGTTAAAAACCTGTGAGAAAAAACAAGCCACAACAAAGAAGTTCAAAAAATATAATCAAGTGCAAAGTTCCAGATCACTTCGAACATAGAACTTTAGCTTAATTATTTTATTTACAAAAGAACTAAAGCAGGTTATGTATTTACATCAGTCCTCTGGGCAAATCAACGGTTTAACCTGAAATCAAGCACGCATCTAATCGTGGAGTTACTGCATTCAACAACACCAGAAATCAGAAAACACCAAGCCTGTGTTTTGATGAAACGTGTTCATTGCATTGTACAATGTGCCCGGCGGGCTATAAAAGCAACACCGTATGATACGATCAGATACTGAGGAGGGTTGAAAAGTGCTGCCGGAGAGCGTCATATATCGCGGTCGAACTGAGATGAACAGCTTTCTCCAGTCGACAACTGTCAAACGTCAGTGTATCATTCTTTTATTACATGTACAATAATGTACACAATTATAAGAGAGGTCACACAAGAGACCAGTAGTGATCATATCGAGGTATACTGCGATTACAGTAGCACTCGTTATCGTTCGGCCAAACATGATCCTAGAGCAAAACACAAGATCGGCCCTTTTATACGAACACAAAAAAAATTAAAAAGCATAACGCCCCTGATCTCGCGAATCGTTTTTAATTTAAACATCCGCGCTGCTTCAGTTGGAGTCCGTGTCGTCGTTAATGTACTCTTCCTCTACGAGCGTCACGCCCGGCTGCGTCCCCCCCTCCTCCTCGTCATACTCGATGCTGTCGTTGTCCTCCAGAAGCTCGTTTTCAGGCTCCGCCCCTCCGGCGGCTCCACCCACATCAGCCCCGCCCTCTTCTTCCTCAAACTCCGCCCTCTCCTGCCCCGGCGCGACGTAGCCGTTGTTATTGGAGAATGCAGAGTGCTCGTGTCCGTCGTCCTCGATGTAGACGCGCTGGTGGCACATGGGACACGTGTCTTGAATATACAGCCATTTGCGTAAACACAGCGCGTGGAAGTAGTGGTGGCACGGCGTAATGCGCGCGGACGCGGCGAACTCCTGATAGCAGATCGCGCAAACGTCCTCGATCTCCCTCAGCCGCGTGCCTTTGACCTCCGGGAGCGAGTTGATCTTCTTGACGGCGGTGCGACGGTTGATAAACGTCTTCCAGCCGTTCCTCGCCTGCAGGTAGATGTTGAAATACGCGTGCAGGCACATCATGCACGCGCGGATTTTACTTCCCGACTCGAACATCATCGTATACGCGCCGTTTCCGAACATGATCACGCCGAAGACGAACTCGACGATGTTGCCGGTGGAGCGCACGTAGTAGACATAGTCGTCCAGCTTCTCCCAGAGCACGTTGTAGAAGCCGTCGATCATGAATAGAGCGTAGACGGTGAGCGAGACGAGGACTTTGAGACAGAGCTCCACGCAGAACGCGGTGACGGCGAAGAGCCACGTGTTTAGCACGTAGTGATGCCACAGAACATAGCTAAGCAGGACGGGGAGAGCGAAGAGGACTAGCGACACCAGCAGCACGGGAACATGCCTGCGCACTGAGGAGACGTGCGAGGCGCTTAGCGACATTAGCACCGGATCCGTCATTCCGTGGATGAAATGCAGAATCGCGGTTAGCAGAAGGCACATATTCCGGCTAAGCCGGATCAGTCGCTCTTCGGGATCCAGTCCGCTTAGTCCCGTCTGCAAAGCAAGGATGAAGAACAGCACTGGCGCGACAAACCCCAGCCGCTTATCCTCCTCCTCGGTTGAGCCGATGAACGCTAGGATGCTAAGTCCCAAGTAATGCGCGAGTGACGAGATAACTGCGCTCATTCCCAACACGGTGAGCATCGAATCGCAGCCGCTGATGATCAAGTTGCTGGTCAAGTCCCAAAACAAGTCCCAGCCGAGCTGCAGGCCGCTTTCCGAGCGAACCACGCGCACTACGTACACTAGGATGACTGCTTGCGCCGTCATGCGCGTTAGCCAGAAGACGCGCAGGATGTCGGGGAAGCGTATGCGCTTCCAGGTGTCCTCCAGCAGCAGCTGCAGGCCGTAGATGCGGTACATGTGGCGCAGGAGTAGATAGACGTAGCGGCACGAGTAGTAGAACCACTTCAGCTTCCACAGCAGATTAACGGTCGCGTGCGTCGCGAGAATCGCCCCCGACGCTAGTGCTAGCGCCTGACGCACGTGCGCCGGGAGCTCCACACAATTCTATTAATAATCAAAATTTTAAAAAAGCAAAATCACTGCAAATTGTATTACTCATGAATATTTATGAAATGTAACCCTGGACCACATAAGCAGCACAGGTATATTTGTAGCAATAGCCATTGTATGGGTCACAGGTCAAAATTGACTAGTATTACTATCCTTGTGGGGACATTTGGTCACCATTACGTGATGAATACCAGGTACAGGTGCATCTCAATAAATTAGAATGTCGTGGAAAAGTTCATTTATTTCAGTAATTCAACTCAAATTGTGAAACTCGTGTATTAAATAAATTCAATGCACACAGACTGAAGTAGTTTAAGTCTTTGGTTCTTTTAATTGTGATGATTTTGGCTCACATTTCACAAAAACCCACCAATCTCAACAAATTAGAATATGGTGACATGCCAATCAGCTAATCAACTCAAAACACCTGCAAAGGTTTCCTGAGCCTTCAAAATGGTCTCTCAGTTTGGTTCACTAGGCTACACAATCATGGGGAAGACTGCTGATCTGACAGTTGTCCAGAAGACAATCATTGACACCCTTCACAAGGATTTCCTCTGAAATACAAATGCTTATTTTTAGAGATCGACTGATGCTGATTGATTGATTTACAGCCATTCCATTTATCAGTGGTTCCAACGTTTAAAAAACGACATCTGATAATAGAACAGATGCTTGAAATGTTCAGATCTGGATGGTAAGAGTGTTTGTTTGCAGACACCTGGAGTCTGAGCGAGTCCTCCAGGTTTCCTCCAGTGATGATGAACACCATCAATCTCATTCTGACCACATATGAGTTATAAATAACCAGCTTTGCTGACCTTCAGCGCTCTCTCCACAACACACAACACAACACACCAGATGATCAAATGTCACATACTTTATTATATATTTATTACTTTATATCTATTACACTAAAACTAAAATGACACATTAACAGTAGTTAATTGTTGCGATAGTGTTCGGATTATGATCCAATGACTCTAAAGACAAAATAAAAACGTGTCTTTTGATTTGTGAATATAAAAACCAACCAGAATAATTATGTTTGATTGCATGGACACTCTTATTAATCATAATAAAAATTAGTGCAAAATCAGCACTGTCACAATCACTCTTTATGTACTACTCATTAACATTCGGGAACTGACTATAGGTTATTATCATCGCTATGATAATAATGAATATGAATTGTAATGAGCATGTCATTACCTTCATGTTTCTGAGTTCCTCTGTAAACTCCTCTGAACATCGGGTCTGTCAGATTAATGCCAATATCTGCATAAACATATATATATCATTCAACTTTAGACGTCTGTAAACAGAGAGAACACGTGGTGGAGTGCGCGGGGCTTCGCGGTCCAGAAGATGTCGATTGGTGGTATAAATAATAATTCCAGGCTGAATTTGAATATTATACTAGCATACTACTTTAAATATAAGACATAACGATGACGTGTGCAATGCATTCAGCTGCCTATTGTGCATAGACGGCTGTCACGTGAGCCTGTTACTTTCATCTGAATTAATATATTTAAACGATTATAAATACTTACATATCAAGTAAATAAATAAATGTAAAGATTTGAATGCGGTTGAACCTATGGGTTGAACGGACGCTTCTGCTTTAAGAGACTCAGAGCGCCACCTGGTGGAAAATAGAAAATTACAAATAGTGCTTATATAAAACTTGCTTTTGATCACAATATGAATTTGAATATTAGTAAATTGTATTTTAACGCGCTTTTCTCTGCGATTGGAATGAATCTGTGTTTGTGATTCATCTGCCTATTATGAAGAAATCTGTAACAGTGATTAAAAATAAAAACAAGATGCAAGATGAATGATTTTATTAACAGTGATCTTCACATTTTATGGCCTTTAAATGTCTAGAGACTGCACTTTTGAGTTCTTTGCAGCGGAGTGTTTGAAGAGAATTCAGTGTTTCTTCACATTATTTGTGTATTTTTATTTTTTAGCACAACAAATCTTATACACACACACACACACATATATATATATATATATAATGCACTGTATATTTAATGGCAATTCATATAATGTAAATACAGTAAACACATACATTCATACAGTACAATTATAACCACTGCACATAACAGGAAGTAAACTAAAATAAATGTAATAAATTAAGAACTTTAAGGTAATAAATTGAGAACAATAAAATAACTAGATAAAATTTAATAAAATTACATTAAAGAGAGGGTCTTTTCCCACTATTCATACATATAATAGGGGGTTTAGTCATAAAAGGGATTACAAATAATCATTTGAAGACTAAAAATAAGATTAACTCTTCATACATGTCTAAATGCATACAGTACAATTATAACCACTGCACATAACAGGAAGTAAACTAAAATAAATGTAATAAATTAAGAACTTTAAGGTAATAAATTGAGAACAATAAAATAACTAGATAAAATTTAATAAAATTACATTAAAGAGAGAGTCTTTTCCCACTATTCATACATATAATAGGGGGTTTAGTCATAAAAGGGATTACAAATAATCATTTGAAGACTAAAAATAAGATTAACTCTTCATACATGTCTAAATGTGCAGCACACAAGCAGTGTTGAGTCGCTGGGGGATATTTGTAGCAATAGCCAACAATACATTGTATGGGTCACAATTATACATTTCTCTTTTATGCCAAAAATCATTAGGATATTAAGTAAAGATCATGTTCCATGAAGATATTTTGTACATTTGGACAGTTTTAAAGATGATTCCAGCTTTCAAATAGTTGTATCTCAGCCAGATATTGTGCTATCCTATCAAACCATACATCAATGGAGAGCTTATTTATTCAGCTTTCAGATGATGCATGCATCTCAATTTCAGAAAATTGACCCTTATGACTGGTTTTGTGTTCCAGGGTCACATATTATAATAAATTGGACTTGAAGCATTAAAACAAGCCTTGATTTGTGAAAATTGAGCAGATGGAGGAGATTGAGTTTGACCTATAATGACTAATAATCACTGATCTGCCTGATTAATGATCACCTGTCACACACTCACATACACTCTCTCTCTCTCTCACACACACACACACACACACACATACACTCTCTCTCTCTCTCACACACACACA